TCGTAGGATAAAATACTCCCCCTTAGAAATAGGTGGCACACACACAGTGATTAACTTGTACCGCTTCTCTAGGCATTTGGTCATAAACCATTGCACAGTATTAGAAAATGACTGGGAAATTTGAATTCTGGCACTGGATGATGGCACTGGATGATGTCTTTACCGAATCTCAAGACAATCCATCAAATAGTAATTAATATATTTCACTTAAACCCTTAAATGGGGTGGTGATGGGCAGTGGATAAGACACATGCCTTTGGGTTCGAATCCACTCAGACGCCATCGTGTCCCTGAGCAAGACACTTAACCCCTAAGTTGCTCCAGAGGCTTGCAACCTCTGACATATATAGCAATTTTAAGTCGCATTGGATAAAAGCGTCAGCTAAATGAATAAATGTAAATGTCAACCTTATGGTAATGGTGGCACTACAGTAATAGTCAGGGGATCACAAAGTTAGGATGGGATTGCTTAGGATACATTGTCTGAGTACTATTAATGTCTGTAGCAAATTTGTGCCAATCCATCTAGAACAAGTTGAGATATTTCACTGGAAAAGTAAATATTTTGACCTTTTGGGGGTGCTAGAGGAAATGTTAGGAGATCGCCAGAATTATTAGGATTCATCCTTATGAATGTCTGTAGCAAATTTCATGGTAATCTATTCAGTCTAAAGTGGTGGGGACCAACAGACTAACAATGTAATCCCTAGAGCCACAGTGCTAGCATGACTAAAAAGTAGTTTTGAGATAAATGCTCATGGAGTTTTGGAAAATAAATGTTTTTTTTTGTCTCAATCCTTAAACTCAGCCCATGTAAATGCAAAAAAATAGGCCAAAATATACAGGCTGTCACTTGACAGCAGTAGTATGTAAGATACAGTATTCTCCACTTTGCATCTGCTCTTTCTAGGTTTTTCTGGCATTTATTAACCTCTTGGGGAGAAATCTGGCTGGATTCCACTTTTTTGATTAGGACGTCCTGGCTGCTGTCCAGCTTCTCGGCTCTCAACAGGCTCATTCCTCTCGTGTTCTGTACATTGGGTGTAGCAATGTGTTTTCAGTCAGCTCATGATCTGTGTGCGTCAGCATGTTTATGTACTGTGGTAGTTTCAACAGCAAGAAGTCACAATGGCCCCTTTGGATATGAAACAGGACGCAGTCTCTAACTAATAGGGTACATCACGAGGGGATGAAACACAAACTTGTCTAAGCAGTACACGCAAAGAAGAAATAATGGTGACTTTTGGATTTTAAGGATCTATTTGATTTTCTTTATCACAATTGAGAATCATATTTTCAGGACCTTTGGAATTTGCTTTGAAAAGATTGTACATGATGTTATTAATTGTCCAAGATTTGCTGTCCTGTATTATTATCATCAGCATAGTAGACAGTATGAGTTCAGTCAGAAATGTTTGCTATACTTTACCATGATTACTTTACCATACCTTACCATACTCTGTGGATGTAGTTACGACAAAACAAACCATCAATGTGTTTGCAAGAACTACTTGGCCCTTCATCGAGTATGGATATAGAAACCCAGTAGTTTTTTCTCTCTGGATTCTATGTAACACAATACTGCAGCTACCTTGGAAGCATTTGCTCTTTATCATTATTGTGCCACATCACTGACAGAATTGTTGTTCAAGCGAAATCCCTTAGAGAAAATACACTCCAGTGACAAGCAGTGGTAAAATGGTGTGACACTGGAAGGAGCTACTGGCTGCTCTGCCCATAATGAAATTCCATGTTAGTTCAGTTGAAGCATCATTGCTGTGAGAACATGACAGTCAGAGTTTGTAACCTGCCAGGTTCTGCAGCACAGTATTGCTAAGTACTGACAGTTTAAACTCTAGGAAGTTGACAACATTTGCATTTAGAGTTTGGACAGTTAAAGCCCCTTTATCTTGGATTAGCTTGAACATCCATTTTTCCGTGTCAGAATCCAAAGGTGATTGAGCATTTTCCATTTCTACCCCCTCACTTTGGAACAGTTTGTAAAAATACAGTTTGATAGGCCTTCCCCAACTATGGCTTTTTAAATCATGTCTTAGTAGTACTCCCCAAGACTTGTAAAAACACTTTGATGTGGAAAATTAATGGAGTTCCCCTTTGAGACATTTGGATATAATTTTTGACTGCTTTTGAGTGTTCACAATTACTCAAAAATTGTGATGTCATGATTAGCCTGCTTTTATTTTGTCTATTTTAAGGTTAACTATTCCAATGATGGCCAAGTTTAACAGGGGGAGCGAAACATCTGATGAAGACCCTGTTCTGGTAGTGTAATTCATTTCCCTAGTGCCCTATATCTATGAATGCCCTTGATTTTAACCTTTGTTGGATAACTAGTGCCCTATAGTGCCCTCGTGATGTTTAGTTTGAATATTGCAAAAATGTGGTTACAACTCTGTTAACTCTCAGTAACCAGTAAGAGTGCAGCAGGTGTAACAACATGCTGACACACAAATATAGATTTAATCAACAAACATGGTTAGCCTGAGTCCCGTCATACAGTCTCTTTTAAGATTCATGCACTTATTTTTATCACAGAATCTGAGATACAGAGTAGAATCAGCATTAGCTCAGTCTGTGGGGACTTGGCTTGGGAAGGACATCTAACTGCTCCCTGTTCTCTGCGCATTGGCTGCCCACTGCTCCTAATTAGGATGGGTTAAATGCAGAGAGCAAATTCCGCATGCGTTGGACTGTGTATAAATTGTATGTGGGTGATAAAGTTGATTAAAGAAGATTAAAGAAAAGTATGTGGGGGGATTGTACAAGAATCTGTTTGTAGTGGGGGGTTGTAGAAAAGTTAATTATTGAAAAATCTAGAATGGAAAAGTGAGTGAAAGGGTTTTGACTGTGAGAAAGTATTTGAAATTAAGTGACCCTGCAAGCATGAGGAACACACATATGATACAGCCACCATGGTCAAGTTCATACTCTAATGAACACTGAAATACCAGCCGTGATTTGCTCTTGACCCAGAACCTGCAGACGGTCAGCTGCTTGTTTACATGGTGTGATGTTGTCCTTTGAGCAGCATGTGGTCAGGACCAGTGGGGAGGGGGGGTCCTCTGATGGAGCTCTCCACACTGGCTCCCAACATGAGGCTCTCAGCACACATAAAGACAACAGTGGTCTGCATATCCTTGTCTGGGTCCACGGCTGGGCCCCTTTGAGGTGGTCAGAGATGATGTTTGCACAGATGTGTAGGTCCAAAGCTGAGAGTCCAAACCACCAGTACCCCTCTGGTGGTCCTGGCCACCCCCTGACTGGGAAGGATGGAGCCTCTTGTTGCCTACACATTCAGTCCCATCACGGGTGACATGACTTAAAGGGACAGCATGAGGCTGATACACTTAGTGGGAGGAAGTTATATCAAGATGACAGATGGGGAATTTTTACAGCTTCCCGCAGTAGAAACAATAGACCTACCCAAAATGCCAAGGTGCATGTTTTGACCAGAGCCTGGTGCTTTAGAGGATGACATAACCCAAAAGGATTACCTAATCTTTTTGCCTAATAGACTTGTATGTCTGTCAAATGAGAATTTAAGCTCAGTGGTTCAGCATAATCTTTGTATAGCATTGTGATCACATGTATTTATTTTACATAACTACATGAACTACATGAAAATGATTTCAGAACTTTAAAGCGATGCAAAATGGTAAAATAATTTACATTTTTGTTGCACAGGGCCATGTTGAAAACCTTTGCTTGGCTTGGGTAAACAACTCTGTGTAAAGATATAGATGTTGCCCTGTTTCAAGATAACAGCAATCACTTAAGTGAGTATTATTATAACTGATGGAGCCACAGGGAAAATAATACCCAAGTTGTAAGTACAAAAAGTTTTCCTATAAGGCACACTTTGGATAGCCCAGTTTAAGTGGTGTAAAAAGTATTCAAATCATCATTTCCTTAAGTAAAAGTACCAATACCATACTATTAAAATACTCAAAATTTGACCTTTTACCAAATTTGAGTAAAAGTATCAAAGTATTAACAACAAAATGTATGTTGGTAGAATGGTCCATGTCAGTGTTACAGCATATTGTTGCGTAGTTTAATCTATAATAATGCATTATATTTTATTAACTGTTCCAAGCACACATATTTTGTAAGTAAAATCATAATGTAGTGAAGTAAAAGATCAACATTTCCATCTGAATTGTAGCGGAGTAGCAGTATAAATACCCTTAAAGTAGAGACACTCAAGTAAAAAGTATCTCAAAATTCTGTACTGTGCGTGAGTAGATGTACTTTGCTATTTTTAACCATTGCCAAATTTAAGTTTGAAATTGTAACAAAAAGTATTTTACTGTTTTGTTTTTACTCAGGCTATTTATTTTATGACCATCTTGTCTGAAAAGGTGTTACAGGTTTCTCCAAATTCTCTCTTTCTATATCATCTGATTGGAAGTTTGTTCCATCTGCAGAAAGATCTTTTGCCTGAATATACACTAGCTGCCCTCTCACTCTGCTTGCCTGAGGCTACTTGGTCAGTTCTAATGAAGTCAAGTAAACATCCTGCCTGTAGTAGAATGTTTAGCATTGGATCTCATTGTGTTGGTGTTTTTCAGGACATAGTGTCAGACTAGTGAACATCTGTGACATGAATGACCAAACATTTCACTGCACTGTGGGATTAGGTTGGATGCAACAAGGAATGACACAGAAGTGGAATGGTACTTTTTTGTTTTGGTTTCTCTGTTGTATGGCTAACACATGTGCAGTGTTTTTATAGTTTTATAGTGAGTCTTCTTGCCTATTTATGAACGCAAGTGTTTTCAATTGATTCTTGGCTGAAGAAAGGCACAGCGTGTCTCACTTTAGACATGCAGTACTAAACTTAGTTATGAAATGGAAAAAAAAAAACATCCCTTGTGAATTCATTTTGAATGAAAACCTTGTAGCGGTGTATTTTTATTAACTCCCTGCTCTAGTTGCGCATTATTTGAGTCTGACACAAATTGTATTGTATGTTTCAGGAATTCAGGAGGGTACAGAGTGCACCAAGTGTAAAAATGACTGGGCACTGAGGGCGGCTATTGCACTGCTCTATGTGCTCTGTGCCCTGCTCACCATAGCAGTGGCTGTCCTCGGATACAAAGGTAAGTCATAAATTTGAATACTCAGTTTAATGATTTAGTTTTAGTTTAGTTTCTGAACTTTGGCCTCCGTAGTACAGATTTTAAAGCTGTGGTCACATTCTACAAATCCAAGTACAGTCAGTCTTACATTCAATGTAGACTGCAGAATTACTCAAATAAGACAATGATAACAGTGGGTTTTAAACCCATAGCCTTAATTCACTTTAAAGTCCACTTTCTTTACACCTTACTAGATTCCAACAGTTCTGAAAACGTGAGAAAGTCTTAAATTGTCATGTTTGAGGCATCAATGAGGTGATCTTATTCTATACCAACCTTCTGTTGGTGGCTTTGGCTCAGGATGTAGAGCGGACGGTCCAGTAATCAGTAGGTTATGTGACCTTTAGCAAGATATTGAACCCCAAATTTCTCCCAATGGCTGTGTGTGAGTCTGTGTGAATCTATTCATTACTGTTTCTGATGAGCAGTTAGCACCTTGCATGGTAGCCTCTGACATCAGTGTGTGTGAATGGGGTGAATGTGACATGTAGTGTAAAGCACTTTGGTCAGAAGACTAGTAAGGTGCTAAACAAGTACAGTCCATTTACAATGTTGTTATTAGGCATGCTAGCGTTGTAGAATGTAGAATTGTTGTAGAACTGTTGTAGAACTGTAGAATAGCAGTCGTGTTATCTCGTCTCTTTTGATTAAAAACTTCAAAATGGTCACTTTTCGGTAGGGTAAGGGTAACAAAGCCTTGATGTTGTTATTTTCAGCATAGCAATAGGTTTTTTTTAGATAATTTCCTTTAAAAACTCCATAAATTAAATATCAACAGGGCACATCACTGGAAGAATGTAAAACTAAATTGATCCAAGTCTGAGCTATCACTTGAAAAGACTCCCTTTTACAAGATCCATAGTTTACTAAATTGACATATTTCGGAGATTAGCCATAGTTTAAGATTATAAACACATTTGTTGTGCAACATTGTCCTTACTGCATTTTTGCTCTTTCTCCCTGTTTGAACTGGGGAAATTATGTTAAGTAGAAACAGAAATGAATTCCAGTTATCACAGGCGCCATCAATATGGAATGCACTTTGTGCATTGTCCAATATTACACATTCATGACCCCAATCAATCGTAGAAAACCTGTCAAAATATCCTTAAGCAAAATATTGAAGTCCCACCTGCTCCACAGGCGCCCCAACCTGGGGAACCATGTACCTCAACCAACAGACAAAAACTGCATTCACCCAATGGGAAATGATTCTATTCTAAACATGGCCTACAAATCCAGATCTAAATCTGAATACTGCCTTGTTACTGCTATCAGGATTGTTTTAGGTTTCCAGCTTTGGATCTGTGTTACTTTGTAGCCCATGTGATTTTGATGGTTTGGCTCTAATGTCTACCAGATGACCATGCAGCGACTACCCTGGCTTAACAACCCAGAGGAGATTTTATGGCTTGGTAACAATTTGTTGTCTCATGAACCACAGGCTGACTCAGAAATGGCTGCAAGTGTCCAAACTGGTTAGAGTTTGCAAGAAACCATTGTAGACTGGCTTCTGTGTTGTGTTTATCTCTTCTACACCCTTTAAACGGTATATACTGTAGTTAACCTGCAAACATAAATATAGTTCTCCGCACTAATCAAGATATTTCCTAGTCTTTGTCCTCCAAATTACGTTTAAAGCATTGTTTGCGTTACCTGCTGTTTCTGCTCCTGTAGCATTGATCAGCGTTAATCTGCTTGGCCTCGTGTTGGGTAACTGCCTAAGTATGGCTCATAACTTGGGTCGCAATAAGCAGTCAATAAGCCTTACTGAAATTAGCAAGCTTATATAATGCCTAATGCTTTTCCAATACAGGACTGTCGGGGGATGGAAAGATTAGTGGGATAAGAAGGTATGTTAGACATCAGGGAAGAAAAGATTCGGTTGCAGGCTCAGTGCTGTAGCAAAATTATTGGCAACAAATAAGGCATATACAGTATTTTTAAGCACTCAAAAAGATAAAGAAATTAGCATTTTAGACGGAAAGAGAAAGAGAGGAGATATAAGCTGCATACTCCCAACAGCACAACAACACACAACACTGGACCCATATGTGTTTATGTTCGTCCCAAGTGCAATGTTATTGCTTCGTGTTTTTGTCACTTCTGGAATGATAACAGTGAGAGCTTAGGATGTTTTCCAGTGTAGTTTTTAGACACCCACATACTGACAAAAAACAAACCGTGGAGGAGGAGAGGAGACAGACTCTAGTTGCAGATGTGCGGAGGAGATAGAGAAAGTGGAACCAGAGTTAGAGTGCGCTAGTGTGGTATTCTTTATGTGTTTGAATTTGTGTATACTCAAGAAGTGGAATTTGTGAATGTGCTCTGAAAATTGTAATGTTCAACAGATACACAGTTGGCCAGTTACAAAAACAAAACAAAACTCTTCACCCTGTTCATCATCCAGTTTTCAGAATTGTTTCCAGTAAGAGGAATGAGTACAGCAGCACCCTCTGCTGTTCAAAATCAGCTTGGCCAGATAACTTCTCTGGCCACAAGTTCTGTTTTCATGAGATCTATTTAACACATAATGATTCAGATTCTTTGCTGAAGTAAAAGTAGCAATAACATGTAAATTTACTCCATTACAAGTACAAATCTTGCATTCAAGAACTTTCTTAAGTAAAAGTATTTAAATATTATCAAAATTTAATTAAGTGATCTGACTTAAAGGATTCCTTAAGCAGCAGAGTGGCCTGCCAGTGTTATGTTATCATATATTGGATTATTATTACTAATGCATTATTGTACAAGCAAACGACAGTGTGTCGTATTTTGTTCATGTGTTTTATGTAAAATCTTAGTCAGAAAAGTTACTAGTAACTACAGATACATATAGTGAAGTATAGTATTTGCCTCTGAAGAGTCTATCTAGAGTCTAGATATCTATCTGTCATATCTCCTATAGACCTCTAATAGTCAGAATGTCACATTCCACATAAACTGCACTTCCTGTGTTAATGTCTTAGTATGTGTGATAGTTGTATAATGTGTTCCTCTTACCACCAGCAAGGCTAAACACTGCATCAGCATCATAATTCTGTCTGTTAATCTTGAATCATTGCTTTATAAGTGTATATTCTTTGTGTATCTATTTACATCGCACCTGCTCTTTCCTCTTTTGTCAGTGGTCCAGAAAATGGACAATGTCACAGAGGGCATGCAGAATTATGGAGGCAAGATCAATGCTGTGGAGACCGACTTAAAGAAGCTAGGTAACATAAGACTACATATCAAATATGGATAGTTTTAACCCATAAACCGGTAACATTTTGAATGCTATGTACAAGGAGTTGGTGTTATTTTCTATAACCGCAGATATTTTTGTGTGTCACCTTTTCAGATGATCAGGCAGGAGAGAAGTCTGTTAATGCCACAAGTGACATTGAGACTTTCAAGTCAGATCTAGAGGCATTACAGAACCAACTGAATGAAATTGCAGTCAGGGCAACAAGAAACAGGGACATGCTGGATGAGCTTCGGATCACAGGAGATGACCTTGAAAACGGCCATGTCTCCCTGCAGAGTTTTCTGCAAGGCAACGCTGCCTCACTGCGTGGGGTCAACCAGACCCTGGCCTCCTACAGCGGCATGATTGATGACCTCCAGACAGACACCGTGCGGCTCCAGTCAGAGATACAGGGCCAGGTCAAAGAGCAGAGCCAGACCCAGGTTAGCATCAGTGCACTAAACATTACCCAGTCCCAGCAGCGTAATCTTCTCGGCACACTGCAGAAGACAGTCGAAGACGCAGGCCAGGCAGTGCAGAAACTGAAGAATGACTATCAGGGTCTGCAGCAGACAGCCAGGCAGACCCGGGCTGACACAGAATGGCTAAAGGAAAAGGTTCAGAATCTCCAGGTTTTGGCAGCCAACAACTCAGCCCTGGCCCGGTCCAATGGAGAAGCTCTGGATGACTTGGGGGCTCAGCTCAGCACGCTAGCCAGCCAGATCCAGAACACCTCAGTTCTCACCGAGGGCCATGACCAGAGCCTGCGTGAGCTGATGGACCACCAGAGAGACCACGATAACGCCACCTCGTCTAAGTTTGACGAGATGGAAGCACGATTAGACAGACATGAGAATGACATGGACCGCGTGACTGGAAACGTGAGCTTTGCCTCGCAGCTCCTGGGTGCCATCAGCTCCGACCTGAATGGCCTGAGGTCCTGTGCTGAGACAGTGATGCGACATTCAGACCTGCTCCTGGGGCTGAACGATAGCGTGACGGAGGCCAGGGCAGACAGCAAGGAGCTGCGCGCCCAGCAGGATGAGCTGACAGCCAGGCTGGACAAAGAGGTCAGCAACCTCTCTATGGTGATGGAGGAGATGAAGCTGGTGGACAGCAAGCACTCGCAGATCATCACCAACTTCACCATCCTGCAGGGTAAGAAGAGAGGACATACTGTGTCCAAAATGATGAAAGGATTTAGATCCAAAAGAACCATATCTTTGAATTTAGACTATGACTGGGATTATACACCTGCTGGTCTTTAGTACTCTGTTGTATAAATAATAACAGATAAATAATAACTACAAATATTAGAAATAAAAAGTACAAGAAATAAAAGGCCTGTGTTCCCTGTGAAACATCTTAAGACCTTAACAGTAACAGCGCAGTCTGACCCCTATAGTCCTCTCATCTGCTGTTGTTATGTTTCAGGTCCACCAGGTCCCAGGGGCCCCAGGGGTGACAAGGGTCCACAGGGGCCAGTGGGCCAGTTAGGACAGAAGGGTGATAAAGGAGACAAAGGGATTCCAGGGTTGCTTGGACCTAAAGGAGAGAAAGGTGCTGCTGGACTACCAGGTATTCCAGGTCCAAAGGGCGCACCTGGGGCTCGGGGTCTTCCTGGTGCTAAAGGGTCGAGAGGGTCTGGAGGACGACCTGGAAGCCCTGGTGAAAAAGGTGACCCCGGGGCTCAGGGGCTTCCTGGTAGGGATGGACAGTCAGGAATGGCAGGACCACAAGGGCCACAGGGGCCCAGAGGAGCAGCAGGACCTGCAGGGTTGGAGGGGCCTCGTGGTCCTGTTGGACCCATCGGCCCACCTGGTCCTCCAGGGCTACCAGGGATACCGGCGCCTTTAGTTCCTCAAATTTCCAAGGCTCCTCAGCCCACTCAACCCACTCAGGTCTCTGAACCCCCCAAACCACCTCAACCCCCCAAACCAGCAGAGGAACCACAAGGCACCGTCTCCCGGCAGGTCCAGCCCCCTGTCACTGTTACTCCAACAACTGGTCAGTTTAATGATTACATAAGAGCAGAACATTTTTACTTATTCTGATACAACATATGACATGTGATCTAACTCCTAAATTGAAATGTTCTGTAAATGATTGGTTCCAGGTTGCCCATCTGGGTTCAGAAAGTTTAGAGACAGCTGCTACTACTTCTCCTCTGGGGCTCAGAGACTCAACTTTGACGAGTCCAACCAGTTCTGTACTAACATATCGTCTCATATGCTCATTATTAATGACAACGAGGAACAGGTAAAGAACATTTGACCCAGATAGTTACTTTAATACATTCACTGACTTTATTTACAAAAAACATTTTTATAAAATAACTTTAAATTTCAGCCTTGTTTTTCTGAAATAACCACCCTGTAAATTATCTTTTGCTCTTCTATCCGTAGCAATTTGTGAGAAATGCAATTGCAGGAAAAGGCTATTTCTGGCTGGGCCTTACTGACAGGGTGGAGGAAAATATCTGGAAATGGGTGGATGGAACTATACCTGTTTTCAAGTGAGTAAATCTGCCAAATTGTTTTTTTACAAATGTATAAATCTCTTTTAAGCAATTGGAATTTGTGTGTGTTTAAGTTATTTCTGTCTTTATTCTTTGCTTCATTCTCTTCAGAACAGCAAGCTTCTATGAATGTAACTAACAAACACCTTGTGTGATGCTTGAACATTGATACATATTGCTTGTGTTGTTGCTATCAGGAAGTGGAAGCCTGGCCAGCCTGATAACTGGACCCACGGCCACGAAGCAGGCGAGGACTGTGCTGGCCTTATCCATAATGCCAACTGGAATGATTTCTACTGCACTGACCGCATCGGGTTTATCTGTGAACGTGCCTCTGACTGTCAGTACCTTCTATGTATCTGACCTTTTTGCATTTTGAAATCTCCTGTGTGCATGTGTGTGCGTGTGTGTGCGTGTGCGTGCGTTTTTTCTATATTTTTCTTATTGGCAACAGATACCATCTAAAGGCCAAAACCAACAATGTGTCTGTTCGTCTCTCTTACTCAGTCTGCGGTACTCAGCCCCAAGTCCATTCATTCCTACTCATGATGTAAATATTTAAAAACTAGTCACAGATATATATTATCCTGAAACCAGCTGGGCACTGTTGTTTTTAGCAAATGTTACTGAAACAGGAGTAATTTGTTGGGGACTATTTTATTCATATTCCCCTGATTAATTTACTTTTGGTGCTTTAGTGAGTTGTGGTATTTACAGCACGGGGACTGTAAATGGGATCGACTCAAAATAAACTACAGTCCCCACTGACAAAACAATCTCAGGTGAAGGTCCTGTTGTTCTGGAGCTTTTGAGCGAATGGTGATCATCGGGAGAATTTACTCAGTTGCCCTGGAAATGTAGATGTTCAAACTTTCCATGATTTGAGGACTTCTCATTCTTGACCTTGGAAACACCTTGGAAACAATCAGGATCAGTGCTAATGTTCATAACAACGAAGAAACATGTCCCCTACTACAACAGTGTGACTCATTAATGTGTTCTTAGTCAATTTTGGAAAACCATGATGGTCCTTTAGGAAGTACACATCTGACGTCTGAGATATGTTGTTCACATTAGAATTTGATCGCAGATTTTGAGATAAATGTCATTTTTTCTGTAATTTAATGAATATACACACAGTGTTGGTGTACTGTGATGACCAATGTCTACTTTTTATGAGCTATGAAAAACCACTCTGTATACAGCTTTTTAGCTATGCAAGTTTTAGATTATCCAAACCAAAAAGGAACACTTAACCCTTCACTTTCTCTTGGAAATACATGGTTTTCACTGGACAGCGGCGACAGGCTTGGTAAGGATGTTATCAGTAACAGTCAAAAATCTCAAATATAAATATCCAATATAGATTAAAGGTCCTGTTTGGGTCATGATACTGGTTTGGCCCAATGTCTGTCTGCAGATTAACACAATTAGTTATTACTGTTGCTAAAACTGTTAATATATCAGCATGTACGCACATCATAAAGGTGTTAAAATGTACCTTATGTGTTTTATTTTTGTTGTTCTCTTCACAGTGACGGTTCCAGTTTTATAGCATCCACCTAAGGCAGTGTGAGCTGTCTGTGGGAGAAAGGTGAAGAGGCTGAAATTGAGGTTGAACATGCAAGGATAATGACTCTCTGACACTCTGATGAACTCAGCTCAGTCGAGCATCACTGAGACTTGGACTGATCTTTGTCATAAAGACACTTTAAAACACAGTATGGTGCAAAAGACAGATCATGCACAGACCCAGCCGACTATTGTATTGATTTAGTATTTGTACTGAAGGAACATGAGAATATAGGCATTTATTGAGGCTATGCTAAGTCATTATTTGGTGCAGCCTATGCTAAGTCATTATTTGGTGCAGCCAATGTTGTACAGGCGTATCTGTAAATAATACACACTAAAGATACATTGTTGGTTGGGATTAAATTTCATACCATTTTATTTCTTAACTACCTTTTTAATCTTTAAACTTAAAATCTATATCAGAGGATTATGTTGTTAATAAAGTTGAACTATTTTTATACTGTTAAATACTTCACAGAACAAGAACTGTGATTAGAAATAAGTTCCCGTGAAAATGCTAAGCAGCACCCACTCACCATCAGCAAATGACTGCAAACTCAGATAATAAATAGAAATAAAGCTAATGCAATTTTACATTTCTACAAACTAAAATGTCAATGTAATTTCTTTTGGTTCTACTTCTGAGAATAGAGGCTCAGTGTGAGCATTGCTGCTGTTGTATGAAGGACAGTATTTCTTAGACTTTAGACTGCCAGTATGAGTTTTATACAGTATGAGGCACACATTAACAATACGTACATTTTTGTATCCATCTTATGATGATTTATTCATTATACCAAATACAATATGTGAAATATGTAACGTGTTTATAATTTGCATAATCAGTTGTTATTGTTGTGTGATTTTTTTCCAATTCATATAATGCTCAAGGACTGAGTAGCAGTTTGTAATGTGGCTACAGGCTCATTATGCCTTAATGAAATTACCATGTTCCTATGGATCACAATAAAATGGGAAAGAAAGTGTGTGTGGATTCACTGCTCTTTGGCCTATGAAATATTGTAGTAAATGCATTAACGGGATATGAAAAGACATTTATTTGTCTATAAAAACAAAAGAAGAAAGGACACTCCTAATTAACGCATTACTGATATCAGGCGCATCTGCATCCTTTAGTTTATTTATATATGCAGCTTTTTATTAATTTTTAACAAAACCAATGTGCAACAATCAAACAGTTCAAACAAAGGTAACTACACAACAATTTTAAAAATGGCAGTACATATTCCATATATTTTAGACAATTCATTTTTACTTCCTAAACCTTGTGATAAGATCATTCAAACAGAAAAACACTGACAATTGGGGAAATGCAACAATCTTTTGGGCTTGGAAGATTACATTCAAAGTGGACAACAGGGACTTAGCTACTTAACTATATTGCTGTGACCTAAATCACCTACGTATGTCTGTAGATATCTTCAAAATGTCAGTGAAAAATCACACATAAACAATATCAAGTCTAGTAATAAGTAGTATTCTTTCTCATAAAAGGCACGCTATTACTAATATATATTTATAGGGGATATATTTTGTGAAGAGAAATTTTTATTTATTAATTTAGTGTATCTTTTTATTTGTAGAATAGTCAATGATGCAATCATGTAAAGCTTGAATTCCTTTAATATAAGAAGTTAAGATCAGAAAAGAATTTCCATTTATGTCAATGGTATGTGGTTAATATAATTAAGGGAAATTAAGGTACAATTGTTTATCTTAAGATATCTTGAAATGATTGAGTCCAAACTGTACATTATAGTAATACAGAGAGAAATATATAATCATTTACCTACCCCTACCTTTACCAGTTGCAGCATTAGTGATGCTTACACATTGATGTATTAATAATTATTATCCAGTGATATTATTATTCTGAAATGGGCCAGTGTTTTTACGTTTGGCACTTTAAATATATTTTGCATACTTAGTACTTTTACTTTTGGTTACTTTACGTATAGCCTACTTTTACTTAAGATTTTTAATGCAAGACTTTTAGGCTACTTGTATCAGAGTAATTTTACACTGTTGCTCCTTTTGCTTTTACTTAATCAGAATATCAAAATATTCTTTCACCACTGATCATTTAAAATGATCCACATCTTACAAGATAGCAATTCTTTGTTAACTGCTTAGAAAAAGATTTAACTGGCATGAAGAGTACATCACAGTTGCACAACATTTTTCACAGTTTTTTTGTTTGTTTTTTTGCATTGCCAACAGACGAATAGAGTTCACATGGGATATAAAAAGGTATATAACAGTATACTATTATAAAAGACACACAATAAAACATTGCCAGGGGTAGCCTGTATTAATTAAAGAAGGAGGACCATATCTTTACAGTTCTTTTTGTTGTTGGATTCAGAAACCAAACTGACACAATGCACAACCTCATGGACAAAAAAAGGACAAAGTAATTTTGCTGAATTTGCATTTATGGATGTAGAATTTTGCCATGGAAATCACTCGCGGCAGTTCCTGTTTTGTGGTCAACGCGATGAGATGACGTCACGTGATCGCCATCACCTGACGATGACATGTTATTTTTTTACTGCAGTGGTATTTTTTTTAGCTCGTGATTCATTTTCTCCTGTGTAAAGTCGAGACAGACGCATTAACAGCTGAATGACTGGCTGTTAAATTACAGTCGAGGACAACAGTTTGTTTTAACACTGGGCTGACGGCTTCAATTACCCAGAATGCCTCGCTTGTTGCCGTCTGGCGAAGGAGTGACTGTGTAGAATAGAAATATTCAGCTACATTTGACATTCATTAAGTTGTTGTTACTATGCATTTTTGCTGCATGAAATAAGACGCCAAGGGAAAGAAAATAACTGGGGAAGGCGAAATCTGTTGTTGTCAATACGTCAGCAATGCCTCTCTTCACGACCAACCCATTTGACCAAGATGTTGGTGAGTGATCAGAACTGGGGGCTATTTCTAGCAGGCTAGCTGAAGTAGCTTTTATCAGTCAGCTTTGTTTGTGTTCTCAAGCTGTGTGCACCTCAAATATTACCCTGCAGAGGCGATGTCTTGGTGTATATATTGTAGGCTGTATAATGTGACAAACTGTAGGCCATGTTAATGTTTTTTTAAATGTATGTTTTGCCTGTGTGTTTTTTTTTATGATTCCCTTAGTTAGCCAGAGAGCTAACTAGCTTGCAACCTTATAATGTGGAGATTTAGTTAGCTGTAGCAGCAACTAACATTTTGGTGATAGCATCCAGAAAGCTGGGGAATAAACAGTTCACATAGCTTGCAATATTGAATTTAGTTAATTAAGTGACATTATACATAAAGTTGATATTTTGGTCAGATGTACAGTATGTAGGCGTGGGAAACAGATGTTGTCATCAGATCATTTTAGTAAGCTAGCTAGCCATCTGCCTCATCATTGCCTCACTGTATCCCATTGTGTGTTAACCAGTATGATGAGACATCTCACAGTTGCTGCAAGTGAAAAAGGATACGATGGCGTGTGAAACCATAAAGTCACTCTGTTTCCCTTTTCACTCTTTGTTCTGTGTCGAGTGGTTAACCACTTCATTAACATCTACAGTGTGCAGGAGGTGGCCAAAGTACACAAACACTTCATTATACAGCACCACTACCATGCACAACCAGCAATAAATGCTACTTTGGTAAAGTTTATGATGGGTAGCACCATCCAGTAGTCATTTTCAGGCTGTTTATTCTGATCTTCTTGTACAAATGCAGTTTGATGTCTCTTTGGGAGTGTTATAAATAAATAAGATCCTCTATTTTGGTATTTGTAATCTGATACTGCAATGTCTATATGAATATTAGTACATAGTACATTTTCTGTAAAACAATTGAAAATCTGTTAATGAATAAATAGCCTGCAAGTCTGGTTTTTGGCTAATTCATCAAATTAAATACCTTTTTGTTAAAAATCACTTTTTTGTACAAAACTAATAATAATAATCCGATATGATCATAAAGAATTCCTGCTTATTGATTTGCCGCATGGTTCATAACAATACACCAAGACATATTGAACAAGTCATTATCAAAATATGAAAGAGATGTTACTAGTACAACAAATACTTACAATATATAATAATAAATAATAATAATAGGCTAATTATGTCAGGTATAATATTTATTCTTGATGACATGTTGGCACCTTTTGATATATTGAACTTTTTTATGTATGGAGCATGTAAACATAAGCTGCTTTTAAGACGGGCCTTTACTAGCCATTTGCATGGGACAACTGTTTTTTGCATGTTTGCAATTATGGCCCACTTACTTTACTGGTTCACTTTGTATTTATGCAAACAAGTCATGGAATGATCTGTGATAAGGCCGTCTGATAAAAGAGTTTCTTTTTCAAAATGCCTGCGTTATTGCGCTGATATGGGCTCCAGACAAACACCAACATGAATCTGATGGTGCTCCATGATGTAAGATATCCAGGTAGAAATGTGGGAAGGTTTGTAGTCTTTTTACCCGCCGACTGTATGACCAATAATTGAACAACATTTCCATCAGGTGGCTTTTGTTTACAATTTCTGGACCTTTTGAGTTTTTGCTTTTGTGAATGCAGATTGAAACGGTGTATCATCCTGGCATTGGTTCAATTCAGGGGCCGGCCTTTAGGTGTGACTTTCACTACTTTTGATTAGTGATTGGCTTTATGTAAACATAATGTAACTTACAAGACAAGAAAAAATCAAGTGCACAGAGGCTTGAAACTATATTCACTGCACGAACTGCTGGTCTGTCAAACTCTGTCAATTCACCTCTCTGTCACTGAAAAGAACAGGTCATGAAAAAAGATCTTGAACTTTTCTCCTTACGTTTGTTGTTGTGCTTCTTTCCTGCAGAGAAAGCAACCAGTGAGATGAACACAGCTGAGGACTGGGGCCTCATTCTGGACATATGTGATAAGATAGGGCAGTCACGCACTGGGTTAGTTAACTGTCTTCATACTTACATTTACATTTATTCATTTGGCTGACGCTTTTATCCAAAGCGACTTACAATTGCTGGGGTCGCACGCCTCTGGACACATTGGTGTGTGGATTCGAACACAGGTCTCTCACACCAAAGGCATGTATCTTATCCACTGCTCCATCACCACCCCCATACTAAACCTGACACACACAAGTTCCCTTTAAGGTTTTCCAATTGTAAACATGCATATCCCAGGGTGGGAGGTTGAACCCAGGGTGTGCAAAAGTGTACAAAATGTTAATATGTTAATGTTCATAAAAATGTCTATGGTGACATATTTTACTTAACATAGCTGGATTGTTCTTTCGTCCTTGCCAAGCAGTTAATCAACTGCACAAACTTTTGATTTCTCTCATCCTGTTGCAGGCCTAAAGAATGTCTCCGCTCTATAATGAGAAGAGTGAACCACAAGGATCCCCATGTGGCAATGCAGGCACTGACCGTAAGCAGGCTGTGAACAAACAACCATGATTGGTATAAGCGTGATGGTTCGGTTCATGTAGTCTTTTTGTCATCTACCCTTTATGAACTTTTCACTGGGGTGTGTACTAGTGGAGTAGTAGTAGTATTATTCTATAATAAGCTCTATCCTAATATGTGTCAAGTCAGTTTTGTTTATATTGCCCAATAACAGGTGGCTTTACAATCTGTACAACATACGACATGCTCTATCCTTAGACCCTCCATTCAGATGCGGAAAAACTCCCTAAAAAACTTTTAACAGGTATTAAAGAGTAAGTCTGATTAATTGTTTGTACCACTGTCCTTACAGCTCCTTGGCGCTTGTGTTTCAAACTGTGGGAAGATATTCCACTTGGAGGTGTGCTCCAGAGAGTTTGCCAGTGAAGTCAGTAACGTCTTAAACAAGGTATGTGATGTAATCTTTTACTTTCAGCGTGTTGTCCACACAAAGCCCGCTCATTATTTCTGATTACTCAATATGAGCTCACGCTACATCCAGCTCCCTTGTCCCGTGATGTGTCTTCTTATGATTGTCCCCAGGGCCACCCCAAAGTGTGTGAGAAGCTGAAAGCCCTGATGGTGGAGTGGGCAGAGGACTTCCGTAACGACCCCCAGCTCAGTTTGATCTCAGCCATGATCAAGAATCTACGTGAGCAGGGTGTCACTTTCCCAGCTGTAGGGTCCCAGGTAGGTGTGTAGGGTTGAATAGGCTGTTTTTTGTGTGTTGTTTTCAGTACAAAAGTTCTTTTGTCACATGTCTCATGTTTCATGCCTGTGTCTATGTTGTTATTATCTAATAAAGCCAAAGAATGTTGTATTTAATTGCGGACATTTGAGGTTGTTTTGCTTAAACACCGAGACCCAGACGCATCCTTTTGTTCTTCTAGTTGTTGGTGCACCTGAACATGTGATTATAATTTGATTACAGGCTGCAGAGCAAGCAAAAGCAAGCCCTGCTTTAGTGGCAAAGGATCCCTCCACCTCAACAAACAAAAAAGAAGAAGAAGACCTGGCCAAAGGTAAGGAGGCTATTTTCAATCCACAGGCGTCAGTGGAAGAAATGTATTTGAAGAGGCATTATCCTTAAAAAGATTCACACTAACACCTTTTTAATTCTTTATTTGCATTGCATAAATCACTGTTTACATAGGATTAAAGCATTGCAGATGTGCAGCAGTATTTAAGGACTGTCAATGGCAAACACATAATTCCACACACCTCTTTTGTGTGCAGCTATTGAGCTGTCGTTGAAGGAGCAACGCCAGCAGCCACAGGGCTCCCTGTCGAGCCTTTACCCGAGCACCTCCAGCCTGTTGTCCTCACACAAGTCCGATGGCAGGAAAGTCCGCGCCATCTACGACTTTGAGGCCGCTGAAGACAATGAGCTCACTTTCAAGTCGGGAGAAATCATCACTATCCTGGATGATAGGTACGTTTTGCCACAAAGCAACAGCATACAAGGATTTGTCAAATGACTTGGTAGTCTTCTGACTCCGGGGACCAGTCCTTGTTTAGCATCTGCCCTTTTGAATGCCATCGAGCAGAGCACTGTATCTACCAGCTCAAAAGAAGCTTTATCACATCTCAACCAATCTGAGGAACAGCTCCTGGATTCAGTATGATGACATACTGTTTGTCTCTAAAATTACTTTTCAGGAATTAATAAAAAATATTCTGATGTTTTAAAGAAGCTTGACACTGCAAAGAAAATAATATTCTTTTCTGATCTTTAATGTGAGATCTTAATGCAGCACAGAGAAGACAACAATTTCCATCTGTATAGACGTTTCTGATCATTTGAGTATTTTCTTTTCTGTCGTTTTTTCAGTGACCCCAACTGGTGGAAAGGAGAAACATACCAGGGAGTGGGGTTGTTCCCCTCTAATTTTGTCACAGCTGACCTCACTGCTGAGCCTGAGATGAGTGAGTACACACACACACACACACACACACACACACACACACACACACACACACACACACACACACACACACACACACCCTTTAAACACTTATGTCCTCTCTAGTTCTTTGATTGCCCATTTAGTCCATTAGCAGTATTGATGCCAGGGTGGGACATATTTTATTACTTACACACAGCTGGTGCAACAAGCCAAAGAACACAGTAAAATCGAGACATTGGTTGCATAGACAGAAATCAGTGGGTTATCACATGTAATAACAAACAACACTGCCGGTACTTCTGGGAAGTCATACAGGAATCAATCTGATAGTATTTTAGACACATTTCCTCTTATTAGAGAGCGCTTTATACTAGGGCTGGACCCGAATATTCGACCGTTGGGTACACATTTGATTTTCAATTATGAGATTCGATTATTGAGGGGGTTTTTTCGCACGCCTGACCGCCGCCGACAGCAGCGGAAGTAAAACTCCAGTTCACATCAAAGGGAAAACGAAATGAAGCCCTCAGCTTTGTGGGAGCACTTTAAACTGAGTGATGACAGCAGTAGTGTGGAAGTTATTTATTTTACAATTGCTTAATTTAATTACAGATCAAAACAGTCAAATTTCAAAAATCTGTATCAAACTGTAGGCTGGAAACAAACGGCAACAAAATGAACACATTTAAATAAGCCTAATTATATTAGGCCGATTGTAGAAGAAGAGCATTTTGTCGCTATAATTAAAATTAAAAGTGAATTTTGCATAATAACGTGTTAGATTTAGTTCCGCTACCGGAAACACCGCTCATCTCGTGCGCTCTACAACTGGACTTGCTCGGATCAGACTCTCTCACTCTGGACTCTCAGCTACGGTTCCCCCTGCTCTGTACAGCAGCCACCAACCCGGTTCGGCACGCATCGTTTATTCGCTCTTAATTACTATCAAAGCGTTGAAGCTCAAAAAATGACATTCGGGCCGGGCCTAATATATACAAATTTTTCCATTTCTGATACTGATATAACAGCTTGTCTGCTGTATTGACACAGGCTATTTTTTCTTCTGTAATTGCTGACCTGTTAATAAGTTATTCAAATGCTACTTTTATGCATTGTCTCATAGTATGACACGCGCTTTTACTTCACCGTGCATTTAGCATCATTGCTGCCAGAATGGATTCTACTGTGTGTGGCCACAAAATTCTATATCATCTGCCATCTCTTTTTGCAGAGCAACATTTCTGTTGTCTATGCAGTGTTGTGCCAGATGTAGTCATGAAATAGGAAATTTGAGCTTCCTATTTCAGTGTTAAATTCTGTGTTGTTATGTTGTTAGTGTACATGTATTGAGATGTTGAAATTGTCAAAATCCCACAGAAAGGGGTTAATCATGCAGCATAATGGATTCCATGGTTTTCACAGAATCAGCTTTGCTTGGTTGCCATCTGTTTGGAGTTTGTCACGCTTCTTAATTACATCCAAATGTTTTGTTGCTTTGCCACATTTTTGTTATTATCGCTTGTTGCTTGTACGGCTTTGTCATATTCTTTTGCATGATGCTTCTGCGAGCATGTCATCCCTCAAAACGCTGCACTTGTACATGTACTATTAGCGTAAAAGACCTCCACTCAGCAAACTTGATGACTTTTACTTAAGACTGTGTTGCTTGTTGTTTAGTCTTGTTACAGCAGATTGCACAAAAAAGAACTAAACAAATCAATGTGAGATTTCAAGACGATTTGTCAGTAGTTTGTATCAGATTGTAACTCTTATTTTCCTCGGATATCCAGACCAATCTATTGTGCTAGTACCGGACCATTACTGAATGTGAAGTCAGCACATCCTGACCTTATGTTTGTGTAACTGATTGCTCCTGTTACGTTGTTTTGCTGCTGCCGAATCCGCTGTAACTTTGGAAATCTACAGTAAAGACAGAAAAGAAGACGGTACAGTTCAGTGAGGATATCCAGGTGGAGACCATCGAGCCCGAACAAGAGCCTGTCTATATCGACGAGGTGAGTCCCCTTGTGTAAACACTCAGTTTGTTCAGTCTCATTGAAATCTCAATGTTTCATCAATAAGTTAAGAGTTCTGATGAAAAAATAGGATCTGCCATTTAAAAATTGTCACCTGCTGACAAAATGAGACACAATATGAAGTCAAAAATCATAGACTAGGTTTCAATAGTAGAAAAATAAATTGTGATTAGTTTTTTTTCTGAACTGGATTGAAAAATGTACTCATTGTATGTTCCTGGAAAGTGCCATCACATTATTGAAATATTTCAGGACAAAATGGACCAGCTACTGCAGATGATCCAGAGTGCAGATCCCACGGACAACCAGTCAGACAGTGTCGAGCTACTACAGTTGGAAGGTAAACTGATGTTTGGGTTTAATTAAGTCACTGTTATTGAGACAAAAGTCATTGTCAGTATACAGAAGAATCTGGTATGATTTTTTTTATTTTTGTAAAGGTGGATTATTGTTGACTTCAGATGAAATCAATAATTGTTCAATTTATTGTATTTATCAGGTGCCTGCAATCAAATGGGACCCCTCATTGACCAGAAGTTGGAGGATATAGACAGGTACATTGTGCTGACGTGACATGTTTTGTCCATAGAAAACTATAAAATGAATTTAAGCTGAAGAAAAGTGATGCAGACGGGAGACATAAAACATGTAACACTGACCGCTTTTCCATAAATAGTTAAGCAAATCTAACTGTCTTTTTGTGTGTGTGGGTTTGTTTAATCAGGAAGCACTCAGAGCTGTCAGAGCTGAATGTGAAGGTGATGGAAGGTCTGTCTTTGTACGCCAAGTTAATGAATGAAGATCCAGTTTACGCCATGTATGCCAAGCTGCAGAGCCACCAGTACTACATGCAGCAGCCTGCCAACGCAGCACAACAGGTAAAGCCAACTTGTTATAGATGTGGCCCAGCCCATCAGGGTCAGGTCTTGAAAAACATATACTTACAAGCTTGGAAGTCAAAACCTTTCACCATACAAACTACCACAATTTACTAATTCTTAAAGGGCAAGTTCACATAAAAACACAATAAAACACATTTTTTACTTATAGTACCACTTTTCTTAGCACAAAAGGTAGACACTGTTCATAACTATATATTTGACTGATCCAGAGGTAACCATGTCTTATTTAAGAAAGGATAATACTTTTGAGCTCTTTCTTATGTATGTTTTAGGCCATTGCGTACCACTGTATTGTGTTGAACTACAGTCTGTTTCTTGAAAACTTACAAATTATACCAAAACTATCTGGATGGTATTCAGCTGCTCACCAGATAAGAAGACTGTTAATTATGTATTGGGTGTTACATTCTACATGCATAATATGCCTCTGTACTTTCAGGAGGAAATTGTCATAACTAATACATTTTTCTCGATCTTAGAAATGTAGCACCCTGCTTTAAGATAAAACCAATTTGCTTTTTAGTAGGATTTTTAAATTGCTGTGGATCTTTCCACAGACTTCATTAACACTATGTTCTCCATGCATGTTTGTGACCACAGGTCTACCCTGGTCAGCCTGCATCAGGTTCGTATGCCATGAGTGGTCCAGCCGTGCAGGGTTACACTGTTCCCATGGAGCAGCTTCCAGCTGGAACCTCCATACCTGGTCAGCCAGCTCCCAGGTGAGTTTCATATTCCACAGTGGCTGGGTATGTGGCTCCCTTAAGACATTACAAACAAAATATAAAAACATCTCCTCATTTACATACTTTGTATTCTCATCTGGAATGTATTTACCTTTTTTATTTGTCCATGACAACTTTGTTAGTATGTACTTTAAATTCTCAGGTAATAGCTTGGGCCTTTTATTTACCCCAACTGCAAATAGAACGAGGCTTTTACTTGTCAAGAGCATATGCAAGAGGCATTTCTTTCTTTATTGCCCCTGTTGTAGTCAATGTAAGTCATTTTAGCATATTTTATTATGAACCCTCCTTGTTTTCTGATCTGATCTGGGTTTTTTCTGCTGTTAATGCAAACTCAAGCTTCTTTCACATTTACCTCTAACAGAAATAGTGTTTATTCTGTACATTCACTCATTGGAATTGCTGTTACGGAATCGTCCATGACACTTCCTACAGATGTTTTAAAATGAAAAGGCTCCCAGCAGCTCAAATGGCATAGTCCCTTGTCCTGGTTGGCTTTTAAATTTGCAGGAACTGGTGAGTTTTTTTCATGCTAAATGAACAGCACTGAAAACCAGCACAGCAGCAATTTTTGCCTTTGTGAATGAAAACAATATTTGTGTTAAAAGAGGTTATAAAATTACTCGTTTGTTGTATATATGGCATTAGAGCTGTGGAAATCTAAATTAAATTACAGGTTAATTCCATGCCCCTTAGCGTTTCCAGGCCTTTATTAGCCACTAGTTAATATAAGACATACTGGCTTGAATTATACGGTGTAACGAATTCTACCTTCCATATACTATTTAATGATTCCATGTTGCTGTAGATTTGTAATGAATGTTGCTTCACTCTTTTTCATAGTGACGTTCATATGTACATGGGCCAGCCGCCAGTCTACACTGCAGCTCCAGGCAGCATGGCCCCAGCAGACGTTCAGTGTTACCAGACCCCAGCCGGCGCCCCAGGCACGACTCACGCAGGCATGACCCAGACGCCAAACTACAGCAACCCCTCTGGCCCGAGCATAGCACATTCCTCAGACCCCTCACAGACCCCCTACTCAGAGAAAGCCTTGCTATAGGGCCCCCCCAAGCTCACTGTAATCCTCACGCACACACCAGACCTGATCAAACAGTGGTGGTAGATCATTTCATTTATTAGGTTTTTATCATTTGTTTTATCGTGGAACACCAGATTGACGGGGGGGGGGTTCAAATAAAGTAGGCTAACCTTAACAATTGGCACTCTAACATATAAATAAATATACAGTTGCACTCCAGGTTTAGAGATGATCAGGAGGGTTTGATCTTGAAGAAGTTGCATTTTCACTCTTCTTCTTCTTGTCTTTACATGACTCAGCTGTGAAGACATGAAGGAGCTTTCAGTTGCACTTTTATCATTCAGGCCTGATCACTTCCAAATCTAGATCTGATAGCAATAGTGTCCATTTCTATGTACATGACGTGACATTTATCGCTTCCTTTTTATGATAGGACTATTGAAAAATTGTGGTAGAAGGAACTACATAATTTGGGACTACTTATTTAGGCTTTTGGGATTTCCTTAAAAAGATTATTTTTTAAACCCAAGTAAATATTCATTTATTAGTCATTTGTTGCTGGACGCTTTAACCTTCATACTAGATATAGTTTTGGATGTTCAGCTTGACCTACTGTGTACTGACTTAAGACTTTTTAGATTACACTTGCAATTAATTGGAAGTGAATGGAACTGTTTGTCTACTGTATTTTACTCATAATTAGTCTCAAATCCAGAATTATTCCTGGAAAGTTCCTGGGAAATTATTAAGAAATTGCAGACCTGTTAAATACAGTCTTACCAAAATTGCATTGAGAAAACAAGTGTAACTGTAGCCACTTCGACCTAACAACAAAAAAAATTATGCATTTGCTGTCTGATCAAGTGTGAAACAAACCCACACAGACATCACCCCTCAACATGTCCACTGGAGCGACAAACGCAATACTCACACACACTACAGGCAGGTGTACAGCGGTGGAAACACACACAGTTGCACCAGTTGTTTCACACATCCTCATCATGTGATCATTTACCTTCACTCACACACTAATGTGGAGAGAAATCCGCAACATGCCACAGCCTTCTCACCCACTTAAAACAACTGCTAATCATGTAACAAAAAAAACGGGCAACAGCTTACATTCACGTTCTTTTTTTTTTTTTTTTTTTTTTTATCAGAAAAAATGACTTTTGTTGTTGCTGAAAACATTGAGCTACTACATTCTGTATATGTCGCCAACATTTAGAAGTACTGAAAACTGAAGCCACTTTGTTTTTTTTCTTGGAGGGAAAAGAAACCAGAGGAATTGAAGCATGCACATGACTCTTGTATATACTGTACTGAACTAGTAGTGAAGCCACATGATGACCTCATGAGTGGGCCGTATGTTAGCACAGCCCCTGGTGTTTCTCTCAGCCTTAAAGGTGAACTCTGCAGTCAAGATGTCCCTGCTGAATTAAGGGTGTAAAAGCCAAAGAGAACAAAGTTGCGGGGTGGGGGGAGGGCACTCACATGATTTTTGAAAACAAGATTTTTGTTCTTTTTTTTCTTTTCTTAACATGATCGACTCCTAACTTAATGCTGCAGAGTTTTCCTTTTTCAAAATGAGCAGCTCTTGATCCTTGTTAGTGGATTTAGGATTTGCTCTGTCCATTCTGGGGCTGTACTAACAGACTCGTACGACAGACTTGGCTACTAAGGGGCAAACGCTCTAAACAGCCCCAGTGTCTTTAAAGCATCTCTTTAGTCAGTGTGGAAAAATGAATACTATGTTTTTGTAGTGCATTTTAATTTATGTTTTGATTATTGTTATGCTATTTTAAATGGAGAAGTAGTGCGGGATGTATGTATTCAGAGAAAAGCGGAATATGTGAAATTCTGCCTAGCTGTATATTTAAATCGCTCACATGAAAACATGGACATTTCTCTGTGTTTGATACATGCTTATCGTACTGTAGGGTCAAATGGTAATGTGAAAAACTGATCGAACCTCCCCGTGCATTTAAAACCTCTCAGAGCTGTATAACACTAAAAACAATTTCTACCTGAAGCTGAACTGAAATAAAGTTTCTGATTCTGGAAAGTACAGTTAGGAGCTAACAGTTACAGTGACATTTTGAGGCATTTAAGATTAAATGTTGTACAAACTCTACTTCTCATACTTTCCGTACTACTACTTACTACATGTTAAAAATCTGTAGGAAAGGGTTAACAAATACTGATTGGATTGCAAACAGCTGATGAAACAGGAAAATAATGTATCTGTTGTATAATATTGAATGATGCTACATGAAGGAATTATGAAGATATTTTAATAGGTTAAACCACATTTTCCAGTTGCAGGGCAAGTTGTTGTTTTGCTCTGACTGTAAATTTCTGTCATTTCAATTTTTCTTGAGATACTCTGTTTCAGATGTACTTGTCCTTGCCATCCCTGTGATGGAATATAAACAACCCACAACTTAAACTTGGTACCTGGGACTTTGCATTGAAGAAGCCAGAACCTGATTTTAGCATTAATATAGTTGATTCATTTTGCTGCCTTCAACTAATAATGCTAGAGTGAAATAGTGTTAATCTGTTGAATCAAAGAGGGCTGATAATATAAAAAATAAAAAGTAGCAGCTATTCTGGGACAACAGGACCAGGAGCCAGTTAATCATCACACACACCATCCAAACGTAACATCTTGTTGCACCACAGTGTTGGACTGCAGCCCCAATGTAACTTTTATTGCACAGTGTTGAGATGCTGCCTGTTTTTAAGTTTTAAAGACATTTATTATTGTTATTGTAAAGTTTCTGTCTAAACTTGTACCCTGCTGTTTGTATGTATTATTTTAACCATACTTATTAATTGGTATTCACAATAAAACCAGGCCAAATGTACAGAATAATACGAATGTTGTTTCTTGTTTTTAGAGCACATTGTAGACCAGTGAAATACATTGCGACGTTCAATATAACTGAATAAAAACAGTTTTCTGATGACTGGTATTTTCAGGATATTTTAAAGACCCTGAAAATGATTTTTCTCAATCAGCTTTCACTATGAGCGAATGGACCCAACATAAAAACAATAATTTCTTTTTTATTTCTCATGAGATTTCTGCTGCTGTTTTTGTCTGCTTTTTTCACTGGTTTGAAGTAGGCGTGGCCCAGAATTTTGCAACATTTCAAGAAGTTTTTGAGTCTTGCACTCAGTTGCCAGTTTATTAGGTACAACAAGCTAAAAATAATGCAGTCCTAATAAAACAGTTCTGCAATAAATCCCACCCTCATGAAGGTTGTAATGTTTAGGTTTTGTGTGAAAATGTGTTAGCGAGGTGTTGATTCTATGATCTATGTGCTCTATGATCATTTTGGAGGTTGCAGTTTGTGGTGCTTGGCATTTAACTATATTGTGTTATATGGGTGTTTCTATTATTTTGTCCTCCCCATTATATATAATGCAATACAGTTCAAAACCACCACAAACTACATCCTCCAAACATGATCATGAGGTTCAAATCAACATCTCAAAATCTCATCACCTATTACAAGGACTGTTACATCAGACATCATTAGTTTTAGCTACATGTACCTAATAAACTGACAACTGTGTAGGTGATTTTCCCGCCGAACTAACTCTAATTGTTGTCTATGTCATTAAATAAATAAATTTTATAGAGAAATATTTGAATCAGATTTGAAACAATGTTTTTAAAAGTTGTCCTCTGCCTTGCCACTAGATGGAGATGAGTGGATTTCCTAATAGGACTAGATGGAAGAAATTGTGTGCCCAACAGAAAAAGACAACAGTTTTGCTTAGCAGCCATAGAGCCTGTCACTGTAAATTTCAAAGTGGTAGGGAATTATGAAGAATAGTTCAATTCCCCGTGACATTTTTAAACAGAAATTTCCGTGTTTCTGTGATGTCATTTTGAATATTTCCAAGTTTGTCTTTATTATTGGGTTTAACAAACATAGGTCTCAGCGTTATCAAGTACATTTTTCAGAGCTTGTGTTTCTGTTCAGTGGACGGCTCAGTGCAATTTTCTCCTTGAAATTATGGGATGAGGGTGCTCTTCTTTTTGAGCCCATAAAAAAGCGAGCATGACCACCTTATTACCTCAGCAATAAAAGAGTACACCCTCCAGTGCCGTATAAGCAATGTCAGCGTGCAGAGTCCAACAGCTCGACTGGCTCGTTTTGTGGGAGATGATTATCAAAGTTTTCCTGTCCAAGTTCAGACCAGCAGCTGGTGATCAGGGACCATGCCCTCGGGGAAGACACTCAAGCTCATCCTGTATGAGGTGCTGCAGTTTGCAGCTCTTGTCGTACCCATCTTTGTGATTATGGAGAGGTTTGCTGGCCTTACACGTGATGTGAAAGGACAAGATCTAATGGCCTACTGGCTAGTGGTGGCTGTCTCTATCGCTTATGTGACCTCTGTGACCCTACTTGTGTGGGTTCCTCTGAAATATCTGATCCTGAAACGACGCAGGTTCATCTCAGAGACCACACAGTGGTGAGTACAGCTCTTGGGAGGTAGTTTAGTCAATGTCTCAGAGATTAAGTGTCTACATGTACCGGACAAAGCATCTTACCCTAAAAACAAATGAGAGAGATGACACGGAAAAGTGAACAAAGCCAAAATGACTAGAACACAAACCCTTTGGGGCAAATTTGGAATATGTAAATATAATTAAAATTGACTAGACAAGGAGCAGAACACTTGAATAACAATGCAGGAATGGAATGAAAAACTGAGTGATTAAAAGGAGCAATACTACAATGTCTTGTTATTAAATTAAGTCAGTGTTCAGACGTATTTTAAAAACAAAATACTTAAAGTATCAAAAGTAAACGTGCCCATGATGCAAAATGAGCCCTGGATAAACATTGTAGCTTGATGATTTGGAGCTCATTTGAATTACTTTGTACTGTTTTGTTGTTTTACCTTAGCAAAACATCATCATACCTTATGCATAATCTTAAAGTGAGACTGTGACTTTGTAACTTGAAAGAAGAATTAACAAAACGATCAAACAAATGAAAAGTTGAATTCATTAGCAATAAAAAATCCAGTCTTGCCTGTTCCAAACACCCAGGGGTTTTGCCTTACTTGGTCTGGTATGACCACCATCTTACGGGGGCTAATGTTAGCCGACAAACTTTAGCTTGAAATCACTTTGACTGACGTTGCTACGGACTTTGTGACTCTTGTTTACTTGTGCTAATGTTGCACTGGTGTTTTTCTTTCTCCCCTAATCACATAAAGCATATAAAAAGTGGCCTTTGTTCAACAAGTTCCATGATCTCATTTTACTTAATATAGATATCATACAAATGTAATGTGTAAAAAGTGCAATAGTAGCTTCTGAAATTTAGTGACGTGCAAGTATTAAGTAGCATAAAATGGAAATACTCAAGTATCTAACAATTGTACTTAAGTACGGTACATAAGTAAATACATTTAGCTCCTTTCCTTCACTGGAACTATGTAAGCCTGACAATAACGTAATAAAATGCAGTATATACACTGAGAATAGGATCAACACTTGTTTCGATTGTGCCTTTCAAATGTGAACTACGACATCCTATTTTGTTTTTCAGGAGACCAACAGCGCTGGCGTTTATCATCCTGTGCACGTTACCGTGCTTTGCTATTTTAATAACCAGCTCCAAGGTAAAGTCATCAAGACTGATCGTTTTTGTCCCCTGTTGATGTTGTCTTCTGTCATGCTCCGACGAGGTCCTTGGACATTTGTTATAAACAGTCCATTTGTGGCACAACGCTCATTTTATCACCCCCTTGTGTAGGAGAATGTGTTTAGAGCACCATAATTATTCACTTAGTGACGGCTGACACGGCGCATTGCACCACAGACAAAGAAAAAGATTGCTTGTCACCAGTTCTACTCAGTCTCTCGAGATTTTTCCTTCTTGAAGTTGCATCCAAACATTCTTTTCGCCATGCACTGAGAAGGACTTTGGCACTATCACAAAAAGAAAAGGGCAGTAAGAATGTGTCCACCGTCACAAGACTATACTCTCTGTCCGGGGTATTCAGTAACCCACAGTGGACATAACAGGTTTGCCATTAAACGAAACTTTAATAACATCCACCACAAAAGACTGGAATTTGAGCACATATTCCTCATGTGTCTAGCTGTTTTATTTCTAGACAAGCAAGGACAAAAATAAGAGCGATGTTCCACAAAGACTTGTCAGACATATTCATACATTTAATATTTCTTAATCTTCTGTTAAGGGCATTCGGAAGCATCTTAATGTCCTTAATGACTGGGTAATAAAATCGAATGGCTTCATAAAACCTGAAAGGCAGGAGCTCCTCTTTCCCAGTTCAGCCAAATGCCATAATAACAAGTTTCAATTTAGTTTCTCCTTGCTTCATCTCTCATGATTTCTGAGTGGCACACATCACTTCTTTTTACTTTTAAATCCACATTTATGCTTGCTGTTATCATTTGTACTGTAGGTGCAGGTGGACCGAGGACACAGTCTCGACCATTTCGCAGAATTGCCCGTTTCCTTGGTGCTTGTCTCTCTCATCTGTGTGGATATGATAGAGAGGATTCGCCCCTGCAGGCTCACTGGACAACGTAAGTCTCAAAGCTGTTGGCATCATAAAAAAAGTGTATGTGTCCTGCATTTTAAGTGTTTACGTTTATATATTGATTGCTCTGTGGGATCAAATCAGAAGATATGCTTTTTTCATGGTAGATATGTTGATAAAATAAAATAAAAGATAAAATTAATGATGGTTGAATTCCATTTAGCTGCTTCAGTTTCAGGGTTGTGGAATTGTGCATGCTGGGCAACTGTCACATTGTCATGACTCACTGAGGCACTTGAATATAACATAGTCATTTATTTTATTAGTACACTTTTGTTTGTTTATGTCACCACATCAATCATTCTCATGCAACTTTAGGTCGGCTCACCATCCACGACTCCCCTGAAGCGGCTCTGCGCTACCCAGTTTGAGCTTTCAATGTTGTTGAATGTTGTAACACTTGTGCATTTCCTACGATGTCTGTTGTGAAAAAGTTGTGACCCATTACAGGTGGACAGCTCATGGACACCTGGACTGACATCTCCGTTGTAATGTAGATGGTATTTAGTTGACTATTCAGCATTTGGTCAGCTTCTTATTATTCATTAGTCAGTATGTCTGCATTACCGATGCAGTGCATGCCCTTAGATCCTCAGAGGTCCCCAGAATGTCTTTGTGGCAATTACTTTATGGAAATGTGATTAATTACAGATTTGTAATATGCCTCACTGAAAAAATAAGCCCCTTAAGCATGTTATATTTCAACACGCTGACACCTCTTTAATGAGACATATATATATATTTGATTTTCAGTTTATCCACAACCTGCAACTTTTACTGTTTCATGCGTATTTTTTGGTCAGGGTGGCCACAAAGTTAAAAAGAAACAGCTAAATGAACGACTTGATTTTTGTTCTTCGGTTGTTTTTTAAGCGATCTGCTGGGAAATACATGCTTTAGTTGTTCGAGAAGTGAATTATTTGGGCTCTATATGTTGAACAGCAATACTACAGGAGCTCTCTACAGTCATGAAAAACACAGCTTTACACTCAGTCTGTTCCCAGTTTATTAGAGACAGCTAGCTAAAACTAATGCCGTTTAATATAGCAGTCCTGCCAATATTCCTCCCTCCATGAAGGTTATAATGTTCATGTTTTTGTTGAAATGTACCGTTGAATTACTGTATATTGTGTTATACGGACAGGTGGTCCTGTTATTTTGTCCACTCCATGTATATCAAGGAGACTTATTCAGACACCTAAAACAGAAACACCTCTCTGTATGATGTATGGTGTTGATAAGAACTATTTAGAAAAAGGCAAGACCCATGATCTTGACATTGGTGAAACAGTCTGTATGTGTAACAGCTGGTGGTTGTGTGTGCTCTTGTCATTTGCAGCAAACAGCCTGGATGATTACCTCGATATGCCAGGCCCCATCCTCACCCACCTAGAACAGGTGACCACCGTAACAGGCCGGCCGCACACTGATGAAGGGCAAAACGATATGACCCAAGGCCGTCCAGAGGCCAGGAATGGCAGCACCTCAGGCAGATGGCGGGACCTCGCTGGCTCGCCCACCTGCTCTACGTTCAGCTCACACGCACCCAGCCCTGCCTACCCGTACTCCTCATACTCACGCCCCCGATCCTACTCTGGTAATCTGGGCTTCCTGTGGAGGAGAGACAGAAGGTCAGAGGTGTTTGTGGATAGTTTCCTGTTCTGGCTAGACACTGTGGAAATGGTGAGAGTGGCAGGCGAGCCATCAGTCTTCGACTCAGCCTGGGTGTTCCCCGTCTACATCCTCGCCTTCATGTCTTCTCTCCGTGTGGTCATCACTCCTAACAACCCTTTATTGTCTTTTGCTGGAGTTGCTCTGCAGGACCTTCCTTTTTTTATCCTTAGAGTCGCTCTGATTGTTGAGTTTGGTTATGTAACTCCTGTGTTGTACCCACTGAAGAATGTGCTGGTGAGCCTGACTTTTGTCTACTTTACATTCCTGACCAAGCTGAGGATTTTCAAAAGGCAGAGCATGTTTTGAGGAGGAGTGGCACATTCTGTTGTTAATGAGCGATCTGCTTTGATTGTGGATGGTTGAACAGTTGGTATTTATGTGTGGGGAACAGCACCAGCGAAACATGGTGCTGGCACTGATGATGAAGAACGACATGATTAGAATCGTAATGGCTGAAAATGTATAGTAAAGGCCATTCATCCAAATCAAAGTGTAAAAATTATTCTGGATTCTGTTGGAGTGCACAGTAAGCCACCTGTTCTCATTTCTCTGTGACATATTTGAATCCAAATGTATTTATTGATACTTAATGTTTACCTGCGACATTTCTTTCTCATTTTTTATCTGTACAATATTTGTTAAACTGCAAAGAGTAATGAAAAAACATTTGTTGTAAACAAAAGATTATAAACCAAACAACCTTTACTAAATTAAATCAACATTCCTTCTTTTAACACCGGTTCAAAATTTTCATAATATTTTCATACTAACAATGGATCAAATGTGTAATGTGAAAAGAGTGCCATGAAGTATTATCACCGGACTGTGCAGCAGGGCAGTACTAGGGTCAGTGGAGATCCGGGCCGTAGAATCTTTGAATGAGTCTACAAGCTGCAATCAATGAATATTGCAATACAAGTAAGTCATAAAAATTAACAATGAACTATTATTGTTATACTTCAAACACACAGTTAAACAGCTATTTAACTTCATTGATTTAAGGTGGCATACCTTATGGAGAAAAACATTTAATAAGAAAAATCAACATAATTAAAAACGCCACCAAGGTCCTCATTAGAATAAGTTATGTAAAGAACTGAGCACTCTAATGACACACATAACAAAATGCCCTGTACAGCTTTAAACAAATGTTCCAGCTTTGCTGTGTTTAAATGAACAACTAGGGTGCACTGGGTAACATTATATATTAAGGAATGGCATGTGCAGACCACAAGGTTTTTTGCCACAATTTGTCTGCCTCACACATATTTCTTTGGTCTTAGACAAAAACCATCAAGTCAGCACAGAATCCACACTTGGGCCTTGAGGATGGGGACACTCTCATTCTGGAAGAGACCACTCACTTTGGGATAGACATATGTCTTCATAGGAAAAAGATGATCACTCCTATCAGAATAACTTTGTATTGATTTGCAGTGACCCCTCCACAAACCATGCCATGAAAATACAACCTGTATGGAAGCGTTTCCTGTCATTTTGGTTCTCCACTCATTTATTCAGAGTTACCCATGTGCATATGGTAATGGCATTTTCCAAACCTGAGCTCTCGTGTTCTTGTCATAATTTCGCCAACCTGAAGAGTCAAACCAGTGTACTCATCTCTACCACCAATCTGTGTAGACTTTGCAGAGGACAGTTGCAGTTTTCTTCTTCAGCAAATGCTTGCCTCTGTTGCAGTGTGACCTAGAGTGTCTTTGTTTAGTGCCACGTACTTGCTCTGTTCATGACTGTTGACAATTAGCATCTCACTCCCGTCTTTTGCCTGTAGTGTTGGCACCATGGTGGTTTATGTGTTTTCATGGACATATAACTCACCGAATTGTAGGTGTGGTGTGGTGTGTGGTGTGTGTGTGTGAGTGTGTGTGTGTGTGTGTGTATGCATACTTGTATACTTGTACTTCCTGCATAGAGTGGACGGGAACAATATTTTAACCACAAGAGTGAGGACATTTCTGGGAAGTGACATTTTAGCCGGTCCTTACTACTTCAAAGGGCTGTTTGAAGGTTAAGACTTGGTTTTAAGGGTTAGGGTTAAGGGTATTAGGTTTAGGTGAGGCGTAGGGTAAGTGTTAGGGTCAGCATTGTAGTTGTGATGGTTAAGGTTATGGTATGAGAATGGTATCCATGGTATGACAATGCATTATATCAGTAAGGTTCCTTACAAAGATAGAAGTGCAAGGGTGTGTGTGTGTGTGTGTGTGTGTGTGTGTGTGTGTCAATACAGAATGCCACAGTGACACCACAGAGAAACGCTGGTGTATAATCGCTAGTCCTCCACAAGCACTGTGGACAGTCTGACAGAATTATGCCCCATGGAGCACTTGGTCTTTGTCCCTCTGATGGATGAGCCAGGCCTGCAGGACAAACTGTTTGAGGGGATTGCCAAATCGGTGGCTCCAAAAAACAAGGAAGAAAATGAAGGAATTAAAATAACAGCAAACATCCTGCTGCATCCGTGGTGATAAATTGGGTGAACCTCAAGCTGAAATTTATATCCACTTGATATGCATTGCCACACTGGGGGGGTGAATTGTTAAAGGCGTTATTAATGATATACACAGCCAGTGACAGGACACCAGACAAGCAGCTGTAATTCACAGGGAGGGACCAGAGCTGCCCTGCTTTCATTTACTGGTATGAAAACTAAAATTAACTTCCCTTAATTTCCCCATAGCAATGATCATCCTCCTCCTTAATGATTCATACTATAATCTGCAAGAAGGCATTAGTGCAGCTTCAGTTATTGTGGCCATTTTACAGTACGCCATGTTAGCAGGCTGAATGAATGCTCCGAATGATCAAAGGAAAAAGCAACAGCCTGCATCTATTCCTCTTTATCTGAGTCTGTAAGAGCCACGTTCAGCTTTAAAGAGTTTTCTGAGGCACAAGCTTTCATTTCTCTTTTTTTTTGTCATCAAATGAACATTTCATGCATGCTTAGGGAAGCTTTGCATGAATTAATCTAATTTTAGACTCTTTTCTCTCTTTTTCAACTGTATCTACAGTTTGTGTCTCTTGTACTTAGTGGTCCTGTTAGTTAGGTGTTTAAGGCATATCCTGTGTATTGCATTTTATTATTGTTGTTGCCACAGTAGCTGTGTGTTTCACATCATAGCAATTTTGGTCTGTCAGTTGGTCAATTTATCTGAGTATGGTTTATTGCTTTGGTCCAGACTGAAATATCAATTGGATGGATTGCTGTGAAATTCTGTACAGACATTCATGGTCAAAATAGGACGAACCTTAATGAACTTGGTGACACTGAATCTTGCCCCACCTGCAGGTCCCCAGAGGATTTCCTAAGACTTCTCTTCTACCAGCAGGTATAATGTGCCAAAACTATTGGTCAGATTTCTGTGATATTTGGTACAGAATCCTACTGTCCCCTCAGGATGAATTGTAATAATGTTGCTAATTGACTATGATGGTGTAAACATGGCTTGCTAAACATTAACATGTTAACATTGTCATTGTGAGGATGTGAGCGTGCTGATGTTAGCATTTTGGTCAATGCATCACTGTGCAGAGTTACAACCTCGATAAAAAGAGTCAATTTTCTCTAAAAAAAAAAAGATGACAGATACTCATCTTTACTTTTAGAAACAAGTTGATTACATTTGAAAACCCGTTGGAAATATTCTCATTACACTGACGGGTTTTCTTCAGTTGTGTCAAGAGGTTTTTGGACTCAATAATAGACAGAAATGGGTTGAAAAGAGTGAGATCTGGTTTTTTTTTTGCAGCGTTGAGCAGAAGCAGAATTATCCTCAGTTCAACTTAACATGAAAAATAAGAGAGAGAGAGAGCGCGGCAGCAGAGGAGAAATGTCAGAAAAGGAAGCAACAGAGGAAGGAAAACACAGCTGACATTGTGGACAGAGATGAGGAGAAGGCGATAGGGTGGGGGGGGGACAGATAGAGATGACGGAGGAGGAGGGACGGGGGGGGTTGCTGTTAAGGATGGGTGGAGACTTTGTAAATCTGAGAGGCTGGAGGCGCATTTGAATTCAGGCTGTGTGTCTCCTGCGCTAGCCGAATGTTACCTGCTCTAGCATGGCAACAGAGAGAGAGGGGGAGCAGTGAGCTTCAGCTGCAGCCTCCACACACACACACACACACACACACGCACACACGTGCATACACAGGCACAACAGAAGTGCAAAGAGTGACTCAGGTAAACAGGTACAGTCCTGATAAGAGAGGACCCTTGAGAGGGGAGCAGAGTGGGGGAGTGAGAGATACTGGAGGAGGAGCTATCTGTATCTGGACTCCCAGGGTGGTCTTAGACAGGGATACAGGCAAGACGGATGTGGAGTGATGCGGGAGCTCGGATTGGATGAATCTGACAGACCATAGAGCAGTGAGAGACACACACAGAGAAGAAAAGGACATTTGGTTTTTGTTGCAAGACTACTCGGGGGGGCTTAAGCCGGGGTGGAAGGCTGGAAGGGAGGTTTTTCGCCAGGGTGAATCGGGACAGAGAGAGAGGGGCGGGTGTGGTGTAGTAGTGGGAGGGTAAATAAACACAGGATGGCAGATGAACCACCTGTCCTTCTGAGATAAGGTGAGCACACACATACACAAACACATTAAGACAAGAAGACATACCAACACACTCCTCAGCACATCAGACTGGCCTCCACGACAGTCATTGGATTCCGGATTGATTGGATCCCGGCTAAACACAGAGCTCAGGACTTTAAAGATGTTGTGAGACCATTCGGACATAACTTATTAGAGGGACCAGCCACTGGGCCTCCAGCTGATCCTCCCCTGCGAGATCCTTTGGACATAAGAGATTGGATTATTTTTCTTCTTGTGGGATCTCGTTAACTCCCTGAAGAGCTGGCAATCAGGTGGGTCACCTGTGCCATGAGGATCCGGTGTGTGAGCCTGGCCTGAAACGACCCACCCCGGAGGCTCCGTTGGCCTGTCCTTTCCTCTTCCCCCAACTGGATGTCTTGATGTATTGCTGTGGGCTGGGACACTGGCGGAGAGTGCAGTCCACCTATGTAAGTTAAGTTATCCTATAGCAACAGTAGAGTTGTCTTGTGTGTGTGTGTGTGTGTGTGTGTGTGTGTGTGTGTGTGTGTGTGTGTGCGTGTGCGTGTGTGTGTGTGTGTGTGTGTGCGTGTGTAGTCACTATATATTTTACAAATAATGCCGATAATTCATTCACATTTATAGCACACATGCAGCTGTGAGTGTGGCTCTTGCAGCCCGTGCTAAGGTGTTCACTACTCAGTGTGAGTTTTCAGCTGGGCTGCAGTTTATCAGGACAGACAGTGGCATTGTCAAACAGCTCGCTGTATCGATCTCGGTACAGGACTCCATGAAAGCATTACCTAAAATGCCAATAACCTGCATTGGATGGTTTCACCTCTAGTTTGTTTTCCACTGCGAGGCAACAGTTTGACTTCATCACCAAGCAAGTGAAGTGAACAATTTATGAAAAATGTTTGTGCATACCAAAGCAAGGAGATTTTAAAAACATGACAGCTCGTCAGAAGAGCTTTTCCTCTCACATCATCTGTCCCAGATGACCTGTATGAAGGAGGAGAGGAGCAGGGGAGGACAGACAGGTGCAGTTATCTCATTACAGGCCAGGTTTTACTGTCCTCTCAATGACAGAGAGGAGGATGGAGGACAGTCTCACTCCTCTCCTCCACCTGTTTCTCTTATTTGCTTCTTGTCTTTCC